ACTACTCAGCATTTCGGTGGTTTATATTAATAATTTGTATCAGCGGACTTTAACTGCATAATCAAGTAACCATTAATTTGTATAACTCGTTGACTGAATTTTTATAATATGCTGGTACAATACTATTTCATTAACTTGGAATTTTATTCTAATATTTGTTCCATTACCGAGTTCGCTATACAGTTCACTACAAATTAATTGGTTGCTTGGTTATACAGTTAAAGACGAAGGTGAAGCGTAGAGCAGCACACTGTTTACTTGCAGCTATCTCCGATCTTTTAGCTGATTCTGTGTGCTATAATATCCACCAGAGTCACCTGGATTTATTTCTGAATCATTTACAAAAACAGGATTGGTATGTACGGGAATTTATAGAGAGCTCGGAAACCATCAAGTGATATCACTAGACAAGGCCTCGAGTGGAACGCGAAAGGGAAGCGGCGAGTCGGTCGTCCAAGGGTGACTTGGAGAAGGTCATGTGAAGAGGAGATGAAAGCATGTGGGCAGACTTGGAGTGGGGTGAAAAAGTTGGCAGAAAACGGAAGGCAATGGAGGTGCGCAGCTGAAGCCCTATGTTCCCCTAGGAATTAAAGAATATAATAATAATAATCGGTAATAATAAATATTGGAATAATAATCCAAGCTATATAGAGATACCAAATTGTAGATAAACATTCCTGTACCAATTGTTTCGTCTTCTACCATTACACGACAACTGAAACTTCAGGACTAAAGCTGAAAACCAGATATTCCACTAGGAACACAAATGAGCTAAATAAACAAAAAATTAGGTATGCTACTGGTTAAAGTGTCACTATAGCAACACAACAACAAGGAATTACTCAATATATGAAACATGTTATGCTACTGATTCCTGAAACCAAATATTATTTTCTATGATAAGCTGAAATGGGTGTAGGAGTTCACCTCTTGTGATTTACCACACGCTCAATGTTAACTCTAAGAAGTACTACGCTTAGCGTTTAGAAATCACACTTTATACCTAATTATCCTCTTGGGTATGCCACAGGTATATGCACGCCTTCAAATCAGATGCAGATTTTCAACAATTTGTTTGTAGGAATTCGATTCATTTTCCAAGTGTGATCACGCATTGATACCAGTTAGTGAACCATGAAAACAAGGGAGTACTGGATAGATGTTTCTTCCTAGTGCATAGGAGTCATCGGCACTATGCATCCACCCAACTGGACGTGAGGGCAAACACTAATTACCACTGACATTGGCTGATACCAATCGCGCTAAAATCACAAATTAGTAGAACTTGAAATCCATTGGCCACTGGATCGGTTCCCTGTAACTGAATAGTCTACGAGTTTTTCTTGTAAGCAGAAGGTTCATGGTTTGGTGGGTTTGTACCGCCGTCGAGTCCCGAACTAGGAGGAAAATCTCTCCAGTACTCCCTGGCTCTTTTTTAATCGTCCTTCAACTAATATCAATCCGTGATCAAGACTGAATAGCCAATGTAGATTGTTAAACTCGACTCCTTTTTCACTGTTTTACACCACTCAGGTATTAAATTCCTCAAATAATAATAATAATAATCCTTTTACTTAGATTACTTTCAAGAAACTGAAGGGTATACTCTAACTCGAAAGTTATTACTTCACATCCTGTTTTTAACTCCGAGGTATACTCATACATGAAATCGAAAGAAGCTAAAAATGTATTTCAAAGATACAACCTGTTTATTTCTCAAAAATTGATAAGCAAAATAAAATCTTGTTGAGTACAATGTGTAGTAATAATGAGCGATAAGCAATTTCCTAAGTGACATCTATTTACTTATGAATGGCCCAGTCTTATGTACAGTATGAAAACTCTTTTCCAAAAGTATGAATATGTCTGTATATAAAAACAGATTTTGGCGCTAATATAAAAAATAAGGTAGGTCTTCAATCTAGTCTAAATATGGTCTCCATATCGGTGGCGATGTTGTTGTAGTAGTAGTTGGCTTTACGGTGTCATGACTAGAATTACAAGAAACGAAATTAGTAGGGGTCGCTGCTGTTGTGGTAGGATTGAAGGGCATTGTGTCATGTTGTCGATGAAAATAATTCGATGTGGGATTGCTGCTTAAAGAGTCTCTCGTAGTCTTTACAGGAACACCAAAGGCCGAAAAGCGTTGTTGTTCTTCTAATTTTTGAAACGGTGGTGAAGTTGAATTCATGAGTAAATCAGTCAAAGAATGAACAACATTCGGTGTATTCAAAGGTCTAGTAGATCCCATCAATCGACTATACTCATCGCTGACAATATCAAACTGATTTCTTCGATTATCTATTGGACCTGATGAATGACTATTGTCACCACTGAGAAATCCACTATCAGAATTATTCAGTGTGGAATCCAATTGCTTCTATGTCCTCCTAACGGTGTTGATGATAGCCACTGGTTGTTGTTGTTGTTATTATTCCATGAATGTATCTCACTATTTGAATGTTGGTAACTGTTGCTCGTCATCATCCTCTCACGAAGAGGAGGAGGAGGTGGTAGTGTTGGAGTTGAACAGACAACAAACAATACTGATGATGATGATATTGAAGGCAATGTGGTGGACATCGAAGATGAATTGTGCATACAACTAAGAGGGATTGTTGTTGTTGGTGTCGGTGTTGTTGATGTAACAGTATTCGTGGTAATGGTCTTCACTACTGAACAACTTTTATTTGAAAATGTATTTTTAATTATCAATTTCGGTATCTTATTCTCTTTATTGTCTTCATCAATCACCAACTGGCCAGACTGAGGAATGTTACCAGTGGCAGTAGAAATATTACTGGTATTAGTATTATTAGTGGCAGTGGTAGTGGAATTTGATTGGAAGAAAGACGATGGTAGTATTCGTGTTATTTTAGAAGATGAATTAGTATTCATAAGAGAATATTCCTCTTCTTCTCCAGAAGGTTTATTGATCACCGACGACGACGACGCATAGTCTTGTTTTCGATTTCCTGCTGCTATTGCTACTTTATGCAACGATTCAGTGAATTCATCCAGCTTCTTCGTCGCTGATGTCAATCGTGATGTTGATGTTGAGGATGATGACAAGGAGCGGCAGGAGACGGAGGAGGAGGATGGAATATCATTTCTGGTAGGAGAGGAAGATGTCACGTCATACAAACTATGACGTAGTTTCTTCAGACGGGCTTGTAGTTCTATGAAGAAACGAAGAAAGACAAAGAAGAGATAATAAACATCAAGTCATTCTGTATGACATGTTGAAATGGTTCGAATCAGTAACTGGTTCATATACTCAGTGATAGAATTCTCGTCATGATTTTTACAACACCCATAGCTGATATAGAAAGTGAAAGATCCTTAATCACAGAAAAACTATTCTATTTTGAGATCTTAATCCTTCATTTCAATTGTTTTCTACTTCCTCGGTGTCAAAAAACAGTCCAATCAAACTATAGATAACATGAACTGCTTCTGTGTACTTTCACAATTCGCCGTTGTCGACATATCCTCACCGGATGTAGTAATACACATAAACCTTCGAACGATCAGTGTTAGACGGGAACTAAACGCAAATACACCTTGGATTTCATTGTTTATTCACCACCACTACCAAATATGCTTAACTATGATCTGAATACAAAACAAGACGAGATCATTTGAATTAATAGATTTTTAATCAACAAAGTTAAATGTTTCAGCATCATGTACTATATTCCCAATAGTATCCTCTTTACTTGTGAGTAATGCATCATAAATGCACTCCACAATAATAAGCTAAACTAATGTCCTTATGAAATCGGTGCGACGAAATTTGCAGGAGCCCTGTTGACGTCTCTGAGTTCATTTCCAGTACGGGGAAATCAAACACTTCCGCGCGTGCAGGTACACCTCACCGATACACCAAACATTAATTCAAAGCACATAGTTATTGACATTGATCTTACATGCTAACTATATTCCCAACTTGACGGAAACAGTTTAGTCAACTCAAACACATGATATCGATTACTCCATTGGTAGCCAGCCAGTGAGCCAGCCACTAAGTGTAGTTGAAAGATTACAATCCAAACCAAGAGGCCACTTGAAGTTGTTAGTACTCAAATCAACACAACTTCCGCGCTTTGAAAAAATATTTACGCACTAGTGAAACACACTTACCAGGCTTATCTTTAGCGATATAAGCAACTCGTTCCAATACAGTGTAACACAGATTTAGAAGATCAACCTTCCCAAGTTTCTGACTCTCATCAGGCTAAAATTGTGGAGAGAAAAACCAAAACAAAAAGGAGGAATCAATAATTTCCGGCTTATCTCTGATTGTTCAACCGATAAATATTTATCCTAGTCAGCTCTGTACTGACAAGTAAGATAGCGAGTACTAAAAAGGAAGGAGAGGCATGTAAAAGCTATGAGTTGTCATACCACTGATTTTTACTAATAAAAAACAAGATTCTGGTGAACAGAGGAGGTGACTTCAACTTCAGTCAAGTTATTAAATGTTTCAAGCATTTTTCAAGTGTCTAAGTTCCTGTGTGAAGAGTATATACATAAAATAATACTGGAGTTATAACATACATGAGTGGAAACAACACCGATGTTCACTGATTTCAAAAAACCTCTCCACCACCACCTCGAGTTTTTCTTCCTCTTATTTTTGACGAAACAAAATGTGAAATCATAATAATTCAACAACAAAAAAAACAAATCTGAATAGTGGGCGAGAAAATGTTTATGTTATTCATTATGTAACTAATCTATGATGCTGATATTAGTTGGTCAATTATACTTTCCAGTTACTAAGAGAAATGAAACTAGGAGAAAACAAACAACAACGATGACAAAAAGGAGTAATTAGTGTAATTAATCCAACACTCACTCATTGTCCATCACATCACTGCAACATGAAGGTCGGAAGTGCGAACAGTAATGATAATCATAATAATAATAATGGGCATGGATGATGCATTCATGTGTCTAACACATCTATACTCAGGTATCCGTATGTTCAAAGTAGTGATAAACGCCAATAGGTGATAATAGTGAGAGAGTACTACCAATGTATATTTCACAAGAACACATTTCGTTCTAAAGCATGATTTGATACATGTGTAATCATGTGGAATATGACAATATTTTCAGAAGAATAATGTGATAAAATATGAAGAACTGAAGAGTGTGAAAACATTGAGAAATTTATTTTCAGTGAGGCGGAGAAAAAAATTCAAGAGTTGTAGAAAGTATGCATTTCTGGTTCACACGTGCTTCAGGCAGGACTGCCGATCACCGACGTATTCCCAAACCTCGTTTAGCCGGTAGTCCACCGGGTAGGAAGAAAAAGGTGGGGCACGAGGCTAGCAATTCATCCATTATAAGGAAAAATGACGTTATAGTTGCAGAAACTCCAGAGCTCAAGCATGAAGGAGTGAAAAACCAATTAACAACACTAGATAATATCCACATCATTAGTTCAGTGACTTTAAAGTCATCATTCCCCTAAATTCTCAAAGAGATGGTAAGTTCATTCGGATATAAGAATAACTAAAAATACTAAGATTGAAACGCTGCATGCAAAAATATCAGAATACATGAAAGGTATCACGTCTGTTCGTCCCGTCATATAAATTACAGGTGTAGGGAAGGTGATTCACATTACACAATGTCCACATCTAACTACTTACAAGAACTAAGACTCTTCAAAAGTACGCAGACATGACTCCGACGGGAATAGAATCAAGCACATTCAAGTCGAGAGACATTCCCACTGGCTATTAGGTCACTGAAATCGAATCGAATCTTCTATGAATTCCAGCTCTTCGTGTCCGTCTGAATCCATCCTCGTGCTTCACCAGCATGCGAGTTCGTCTGATAAACTGAACTTCCTGTGTAGCATCCCTGGTGTGGTTAGAAGATCGTACACCTGAAGAGTCTCAAACTGGGACGAAACAACTCTCCATAATTTTCAATAGTTCTCTAACTGAAGTGAACTGCTCGTCAAAATAGAAATCGTGTTACAATAGTGTCAATACTGTTTACACCTAACTACTTACAACAACGAAGATAATAAAAACCAATAAGGAAATATGATAACAGAAATCACATGGACTCACATTAATTCCAATCACCTCCATAGCTAAACTATGCAAAGCCTTCATTTTATCTGAGATGGAAGCACGTCGTCGACGTTCCCTGTTTAGTTTTTTCAGCTAATTTATGTAAACAGAAGAAACGTGAAAAGATTCAGTTATCAGTTAGATGACTAGTTAACTGGATGGGTCGATAATCAAACACTAAGGAACAATAATTTTGAGCAGATTGGAAAGTCACCAGCAGACCTACCACCAAGGAACAGGAAAAGGTGATTCTACACTTGAGCAGCCCATACTCAGGTACGGCGGCCTGCTTAAATCTTGGGCTACCAAAATCTCCATCCTACATATTGCATCTATTTCCTCGGATTTATTTTGTTTTAATCATTCTGCAGCTCAAAGAAGAAGAGAGGTGGTGGTGTTGCCACTTTTACCAATTCTCAGTGGTCTACTGCCAACAACGTCTGCTTCAAATTCTCAAATGACAATATTGATTGTATAACTGTAAAATGTCGACCTAAACACTTACCTAAGTATAGCTTCATTTTTGTCACAAATATCTATATCACACCTTGTTGCAGTCCCTCAGAACTATCTATCTTCGCTGATGAATTCACTATTTTTGCTGCTGCTTCGTTTGGTAACTCCATATCTGTAGAGACTGGCGACTTCAACTCCAGCGACTGCAGTTTTATTACATTGCCAGGCCATGAAAATGTTGTTAATTTCCCAACTCGACAAAATACTTCACTTGATTTAGTATTTATAAATGATTCTGGAATATACGAAGCTCGTAAGAGCTCCGCTCTTCAATTCTGATCACTGTATTGTACGAGTCTTACCCAAAATTTACGGAAAGTTACACAGTAAAGCCTTCTCAAACTTGTCTAAGAAAGTTGTTCACAGATGTTACTCAAATGAGAACGTACATCATCTTAGAAACATGCTCAGTGACACAAGATGGGATCTGTTTAATGATGATTCACTTGATGACAATATCTCTAATATTACATCCTATCTGAAATTCTGTTTTGAAATCTGCTGTCCAAAAGAAACACTATTCGTCAAATTTGACCGTTTCTCCTCGCCTCAACTTAAAAAGCTTCGTAGAGAGAAGGAAAAACTGTATAAGATGAAAGATAAAAGTGGTGTAAAAAGAACTAACTTCTTAATTAAGTCTGAAATGCAGAGGTTGAATGTAATATATAACCAGAAATTCATATCCTGCAAAAATCCTTCTAATATGTGGAAACTATTTAAGGAAATCACTGGTGGTAAGCAGATAAACAATATTCCATATTCTTTTGATGTATGTACTCTTAATAAATCTTTTATTTACTCTCCCTCAAATGCCATGCTTCCCAGCATCACTTGTGTTAATAATAGCCCCTTTCCAGGTTTTAACACAAATGATGTTCAAAAGTGCCTCAAGTCTCTAAACCCTTCCCAGAGCTTAGGTCCCGATTATGTACCTAGTATTATTTTTTTTAAATGTTCTGATATTCTGTGTCACCCTCTCACTGATCTATTTAACAAATCTTTTTCCGATAATATTGTGCCTGCCGTTTGGAAGGACATTAAAGTTGTACCCATACCTAAATCATCTACTGGAGCATGTGTCAAATTTAGACCCATTGCTATTACCTCTCCTTTTTTGAAAACTATGGAGAAATTACTTTTACTTAGTCTTGTACCTTCGCTTAAATCCTTTAATGACCCTAAACAATTTGCCTATAAGCACAGTAGAAGCACTTTAGATGCAGCTGCCGTTTTATATCATAACATTGCTTCCAGTCTAGACAAGGGGGCTAAATTTGTTCGTTGTGCCTTCCTAGACTATACATCTGCTTTTGACTCCGTCCCTAGGGACATCTTATTAAATAAACTTGCTGCTAGTCAAACAGAATGTTGGGCTGTTAACTGGTTACATTCCTATTTCTCAGAAAGAAAGCAGTACACCGTATATAAAGGGAAGTCTTCCACTTCATTGCCTACTGAAGCTGGTGTCCCTCAAGGCGCTGTCCTTTCTCCTTTTCTTTTTTCTTTCTTCTTGCATGACTTGCCTCACTCTGATGAAATAAACTTTGTGAAGTACGCTGATGATTTAACGGTTCAATGGCTGTTAACTCCCAGCTAGATTGTACTAAAATAAATAGCTTTCTATCGGAAGTCAGCAAATGGTCTGAGTCTAACGGTCTTAAACTGAATCCTTCTAAGTGTCAAACTGTTAATTTCAGCTTAAGATGTAAAAGACAGTTAAAAGAAGTCATCGATTCTCATGACAGTTGTAAAATTGACGACAATGATATAGGAATCAAATCAGAAATTAAGTATCTTGGACTCATTCTCTCTTCTGATCTCTCCTGGTCTTCCCATGTCTTAGCAATCTCCAGTAAAATATTCCGCCTGACATTTTACATTAAGAAGTTAAGACACTCGGGTATAACTCAACCCTCCTCTTACAGTTCATAAACTCTTGCATCCTACCTATTCTTCTTTATTGTTCACCCTTATTCTTTCCTGGTTTGCTTAAAAAGGACTATGTCACAATTCGTAGAATGTTGAAGACTGTCAGTAGGGTGAGTGGTGTTCCAGTGGACCACATAGTTAACGTCGTTGTCGATAGGCACTTGACTTCGTGCAATAAATTTGCTAAAGGGATTTTGTCTGACTTGGAGCATCCACTTTACCCTCAGCTTTCACCTTGCATCTCCTCAGGTAGAACAAGAAGTAACTTCAGAAAACTGTATGCTCGCACGTCTAAGTATACAAATTCTATGATACCATACCTAGCACGTATTTTATGTGATAATGAAAATAGTGTCAGGCAAGAATTAACTAACCTTTTTTCATCTAGTAAATAAACAATTTCCTCCATCCATCCATCCTTATATACCTTCAAGTTTTACTTTTATTATTTCTAATATATTTATGGTCCTGTTGCTTCTTTGTTTTACTCTCATAATTGCAAGCACCAACTTATCTCATGACTGCTGTAATCTTTGTTTTTCCCCTCACCATATCATGTAAAGAGAACATTATATTCAATATTTTTAAACATGTTAGGATTTCTATACCACATTGCCAATACTGTGCGAAACAAGCCCACAGTAATTTTCACTTGTATTCTTATTATTATTACCCTAGATGTTATCATTATTATTTCCATTTTATATGCTGCATGTTTTTGACACTACCTCTATTGTAAATGTGGAAAATTTTCTGTGTGATTAATTTTATTTATAATTTGAGGAAATTAGATGCAATATTGTGATTAATGCTGAAAATTCCATTCTGTATCACAAGTACTGTTTTTGGAATAAAGTAAATCATTATTATTTATTATTATTAAAACTAATTTCTGTACAAGAAATCCTAGAGATAACTGTGAGTCACCATGTTTCTCGACTCATACACCGCTCTGATCCCACATTTTTAGGTGACTGTAGAAACTTTCAATGGAATCTGTATGAGTTCCACTGAAAGGAATAACGAAATCATCCGAATGAGTGACCACGTCGTGAATATAGCCTACGGATGACAGTTGGCCGCATGTCTTCTCTCTTGCAATCAGCCTGTTGTCTAGGCAGTACTTAAATATTAGATGTGGTTTCAATTCGACACCGAATTTGTGTATACCATCCACAATTGCCTCCATATACCACTGACTCATCTGACTGGTTGCCGCTAAGGGTTACTAATTCGTTCATCAGGGTGGTTTCTTTTTCGGCTGCTACAGTTTAGAAGTCACCCACCCACCCAATGCTATACAGGCTTAATAACCAGTTGACGTTCTTACTGCACCATCATATCAAAATATTCAAATTTAATTTACTCTCTTAATTAACCTGTTGACATAATTATGCGCAATAAATTCTGCTTGAAACGTCAATACACTGTAGTATTACACTGTATTCTATATCAGATAAACCTCTCTCATGTGGACTAAGTTAACTTAGACAAATATTTATTAATTAATTCGGGTTAATATAACTTCCTCTTCCCCTAACCACACACACACACGTGACTCATGCAATAACAACATACTATGGCTGATATACTCTCTTAGGCCTAAATTCTTCTCACTCGATTTGATCTGATTTGATTTTAAAAATGTGTGACTCATACTTCGCTTATATAGTTGACAGTAAAAAAAAGTATGTTGCTAAGTCACTCAAAATGCCACAGGATTACGGAGTGAACTAGTGTATTTGGACATATTGATTTTAATGCATTCCAACACTTTTGTAACCTAGTGCAACACTTCTCACAATACTGTCACTTATAGCATATTTGTGTCTATATCGTTATGATTATTATTATTATTTGTATGTCGACTCATCTCGAAAAATTAGTCGCCTATGTGTAGTAGAAATAATTTGAACGAAAACAAAACAAAAAAACAGACTGACAACTAACAAGATATCACTCAGTCACACTATTCGCTTGTTACTACTCTATTATATATTATAATATTAGTAAAGGGATACTATTGATGTGTTAAATGGAAGTCACTTGGTGATACTACTACTACTACTACTACTACTACGGAAAAGCATATAAACATTCGATCAATAAATCAATGACGTCAAATGCTAACTGATTGGTCAGTTTATAAAATTATAAATAATACGTCCTATCCTCAGTAAAACCTCAGTATATTTCCTACTAAGCAGTTTCTATCTCGAACAGTTGAGCATTCAATTTCACTACATTACAACATAATAAACTGGTCTATTCTCACCTCACTTTCCTACTACGTCGGAACACCTAAGAGAACATAACAGGAGAGTTGAGAAGACATGGAAGAACTACATCGCTATGATGTACTTGTTCATCTATCGAGTCATGCACTCTTGGAAACCACTCACAAAGAATAGTGGTTTCTGTACTCTTAGTTGACTCGGTCAAGAAGTGATTAGACAAGGTTAGATAGTTATTCGGAAAGGATTAAAAACAGGTTTGAAGTCATCTGTTGTGAACCACAAGTCTCAATCACTTCCCCTACCATCTAGAAGACTACTACTTAGGTAATGACTGACTAACGCCTGCGTGTTGGTGACATATTAAGTCAACATGTGGCGCCCTATTGAAAAGCAACCACACTTACAGGCATATCTCAGTTTTGGGTTCGCACAACCGATTCCAGGATATCGAATGTCTGGCTGTCGTGAATAAGCAGTGTACTAATTATAATTACCAAACCGTATATGGAGGGGGGAAGTTAGTAGGATAACCTGTCTCCTCAGAGGATTGGGATTCTGGAGTAGGTTAAAGCATAGAACCAATATCGATAGTAATCTCTTCAAAATTTCATCCGTTATATAACTTCCTTCATTCGGATTTCTCCTCTGTATAGCCTAACAACAAAGAGCACCCCTTTGTATCAGGGTCGCAGGACCCATCAGCGAAGCACATCCCCCAGTGCTCGAATCTCGACTGACAGCTTGCAAAACCTCCTTTAACCAGTAGCAGAACTCGAAAACAATGGAAGTTAGTCAAAGTCAAACCATCATAGCCAAAATCGCAGTCACCTTGAACAACCAATCACAATCTAGATACAAAAGTCACATACACATCTTTGAAAAATGCAACAAAACACATTGCAAACATGATATTACATCACATGATTGTCGCTTATGAGTTGTAAGAATGTCTCTCAGTTACTATACAGATGATCTGCAGAGAAATCATACCATACGTGATAGATGTATTCATCCAGGTGACTCCAGGTAGTGGTACTTTCAGATTGGCACATATTTCTGACAGTCCCTACAACTACTCCTAACTCTGAATATAATCCTAACTTCAACCTAATTTCTAACCTCACCTAACCCTACATCCTAAACACTAACCTAAAGAGAAATATCCCCAGTTAAGCGTATAGCTTTAGAGAGAAAGCACCTGGAGGATAATTGGAGTACTGTATCTACCCTCCCCAGATCACAAAAGGCAAGCATGATTTGATTTGGTAGGACCTTACACGGAGCTTCCTGTGACTCACTGCTTCTCGAAGACCAACTTTTCGCAGACTTTGACCTTGGTTATGATGCTTAAGCTTCGTCGAGGTTGGGTATCAGACTAGCAACCCAAACCCATAGAAACACTACAAGCACTACTGGGACTTCAAAGACTAGTGCTTGAAGTATCTCTCCCACTTGGAATCCGAACAAATTAAGTGAGTAATGTAACACAATCATCAATGTAAAACACACCATATATATTGAACAGTACAAATCCAAGAAGAAATTTTCACAAATTTATACAAGAGATGAACTTACTCGACGTGTTTCTTCTCTAATCTCCACCGGTAAAGTCGAATGTCTACTTCTTTTTGAAGGCATTTCATCATTTTGTGAAGTTGGAGGATTAACTATATCAGATCCCGATAATAGATTCTCTGACGTAATCCCACTTGATGAACAATAAACACGTGGTACACGTGCTTCGTCCACACGATATGTGGTTATCGGGACATAGGACATTACTACAACAACAAGTAACACGAGAGAATGTGTAATCAACTCTGGATCAGGTTCACTATTATTTCATTTATATTCACATTCGCGTGTTTATTGATTAACCAATGACAGTAGAGTATGTGTCTAAAACAAGGATACAATTCACGTGGGAGGAATTAAGCCAATCAAAATAGTTGTCATACTTTCTACCAAACCAACCACGTGATCGACCCAAAGACTCATTAAAAAAGCTGTCATATATTGTTGTCACGATAATGTAATTGGTGGAAGAAATAACCCATTGGATTGGATTGAATATTAATAAAATAGTTGAGTAGTGATCAGGATAAGGAAAAACTACAAGCATTCGTTGAGATTTCTTTTATTGTGTTTTATTGGTCCTGTAGCTCATTGGTTATTTCCTGCATTTGTTCTGAGTTTGATCCTCTCAGTGAGCATCCTTATAATGAAGTGCAGGGAGACTGAGATGACGAGTCCTTAGTGGGGGAAACGCACTCCCTGAGTATTATTACCAATCACCCAACCGCTCAAAGACAAAATATCAAAGACTACTATTCTTCATTGCAAATCTGGTGATAGGCAGAAGTTTGAAGGGTTTCGTTTAGTGTCTGAAATCGTTATTGCTTAGTCGTCAAATCAGGTGGTGTTAAACTCATGTAAAAACAATACTATACTACTAGAGAAGTCGAGGACACTCGCTGACTAAGTAATCTGTAAAAATCATTATAACTGTTTCATCCCACCCTAGTATTCATCAACAACGAGTGCGCACCATCCGATGAAAGGTATGATTCGTGACAATCAGACACCAAACCAGATTCAAATGTCTTCTTTTTTCAGTTAAATTATTCCGAGTAGGACACAGGGCATTAAACCTGAGCTTTACAGTTTTGGTAATGGTGTTGTTTTTTAGGGGTGGTGTTGCTGGCCTTATGACCAACCTTCACCCGCGATATCGCATTTACTGCTGGCTAGGCGAGGTTTAGCTATGCGTTGGCCAGGTGTAGAACAAGGACCACGTGCATATAATAATTTTACGGTATTACTCAAATCGTGAGTAACAATGCTCAACTGGAGATTGATTTCAAATATACAGTTTTATTAGTTATTTGTATTCGATGAAAATACAGAAGTTGATATTGGATACAAGTATTGATGGATGATAACTGAAGGATGATGAAGGTACATTGAGTAAGTGTGGAGAGGCGAAATCCGAAAGAAATATAAAATAAAGGGATATGTATGGTAGAAAGAGTAATTCTATGGAGAATAATGAGGATTGAAAAGAGTGAATGTATTTGCGCTAATGAAAACGAATTCAACCGATATCGCCAACATTCTCAAGCCAATGATTCTTAAATTCTCAACCAACTCAGATGGTTAGTCTGCATCTCCACACCTGTTTCAAACAAACAGTCTACAATTCAAACTACTGAAAGACTCAAGAATCGAATTAAATATTTCATGAAGATCAGCGTTGCTTTAGACGGTACGAGACCCTGTAATAAAAAAAAACAACTTCAATGCTTCCAGTGAACTTTATTATCGATTAGAACGCCACTGAAAATCAAGAAGCATTAGCCAGCTGGAGAACTTCACTGAAAACGTGTGAAGCAGAAGAAAAGAACTGTCCTGTGCTACTTAATTTCCAACGGTTCTGTCTCTGCCATCTCTCTGTGACCAAATATAAACTGAAATAAATCGAATATCTACAGACAGGAAGTGGTACACTAAATAAACAAATTAACACACCGATATTGCTTATAATAAAATGAAAACTAGTATATTCCTTTCCCATGTTGGATAGTTGATAATTCCTTTCTTTGGGGTGGGAGTGGGGTGAGGGGATTTTCAGGCATTTCACCTGCTCACACATGTAAGGATTGATGTTCAGTTAACTAATTACATAACTGTATTTCATTCCATCATGCAGAATTCCACTGAATGCATTCTAGCATCCTTGATGAATAATACACGCAAGTCTTAGATATTTAAAGGTGTCACATCTTTCCAAATCAGAGAATTGAGATGTCACTCATCGCCTGGAGTCAAACAGATGTCTTCATCTCTTTTGTAAAGTCACACAGCTGACTCATATCAAACTATCGACATTCTAGTTAGCTACTAGAGCACACAGGTTGTTGAACTTTTCAAGATGATAACTGATTTGTGATGTGAGACAGAATACAAAGTACGTCTGTAGTTCAATGACAGAATGCACACCAACCATATAAGTAATCCGGGTTCAATTCCCCCATCGATGCACTCCGAAATCTCGTTTAATCTGTCAGTCCTTCTCCCTACTCGGAACTCAAAAGAATAAAAAAAGGAAGACTAAGGATATTTATTCTCTTTCAAGTATGGCAGCCTCAGGTTGATAGATACCTGTTTGATCTCCTCTTCTAAAAATTAAATTATTTCGAATAAAGCAAGAATAATATGGTACCATTATTTAATTTGTTGGCTTCTCATGGGCTACTGCTTACAGGCTAATTATGTATGCGTACAGAACAGTTTTAATATACTTGCAAATTTTATACATTTTATGCCAGTTGAACTTAGTGAACAGTGCTCAGAAAATTACGCTTATATAGTTCACCTGAATTTCCGGGATTTAAGTTGAACTCAGTACATTGTTATCTGATGTATAAGTCACTTATTATCTTACACATCTTTCGTTTTTACTACGTATCTCTTTTACCATTGTATGCATACATTTACTTAGTGGAAACTTGAACTACTGTGTAAAAATTATATAAACGTAATTTCCTGAGCACTGTTCAGTTCGGAATCTCTTGTTAACTAGCATCATATGTATAAAATTTGCAAGTGTGTGGAAACTTTTCTGTTTTTTGTTTTGGTTACAGGATTTCATCATGAGTTGAAATTGGTTAGAGAACCATAGGAAAACCTAAGAGTACTAGACAGCCTTTTCGTCCTAGTTTGGGAGTCTTCAGCAGTACGTACCCACACCACAGGGTTCAAAAACCCAGGACCTTCTGGTTACAAGGTTTTCCAATGGATCTCTAACCATGATGTCAGCTCATGATGAAATCCTCCAAGCAATCAATCAAATCCCTACAAACCAATACTTGAATATTTTCTGTTTTTATTTTATTCCTTTACGTTCCCTGAGTGGAACATAGGGCGCCTTCAAGCTAGATCTGTGAGGTTCCGGTAGCAGTGGTGACTATTCTTACGGGATGTGGTTACTAGCCTCATGTCTACACAACCTCCCCTCTTTACCAGCCTTATTATTGGCTTAGCGAACCCCAGACCATATGCGTGGTTGGCAAGCATTATACCGCTGTGCCACCGACGCAAAACTTCTCTGTACATCAACTTAATAATAATAATTCATATAGGCTGTAAGCAGTAGCTGATGACAAGCCAACGAAATAAATGATGGTACCATATGATTCTGCACAAACCACTCTTCCTTCTTCTTGCTTTATTCAAATTGATAATGGCGAATAAATGTATGAAAAAAATTATTACTTTTCCCATGTAGTAATTCTATCCTTCCAATATATAAACTAGCTATTCAAAGGTATTCTCTTGGTTAATACACAATAAAAGATACTTTATCCAACAATCAGTCAATGAATTAAACAAATAATAATAATAATCATTTAAAACAAGACATAATTTATTTCAAGTTTAATAACCAACGATAACAAGAAAACAAATAATCAAATAAATAAGTAACTGAATAAAATGGACGTCTGTGAAAGAAAATCCACAATGTTCAATAGATTATACATAACAGTTCTTTCTTCTTCTTCTTTTGTGTATCCATAAGACTGTGGTGAGAGCAGGCTGCAAGCCAACTGGTAGGCATTATTCTACGTCAATGTCTAGGTCACTAATATTGGCCGTGAGAAAATATGAGCAAGGCTGATTCAACAACCAATCACAGCAAACTTAACGTGGACAAATATGATTCACAGATAGATGGCTCCACTTTTCGATGGCTACCCGAAACAACCAATCAGAAGCCTGCGTTTGTCTACTTGAATAAGCTATAATAATGTATGTGAAATATATATATATAATATATATACGTGTTGATTCCCGTAATAAAACGATCTGTTGCCTGGCCCTTGTCTTCTTTTGTTACAAGAATTGTTCGTGGTTACCACTGTGTGGAAGAAAGACGCAAAATCATTTGAACAGAGAGATACCAATTCTTATTACTGAGTTGATGTCTGTTTAGCAAACTTATTTCATAGATTTGAAATGAAGATTTTGGCTACAACAGGATTGAAATTATCAAAATTGTGAACAGTCGAAACAACTTTTGATCGCACTTTATTTTAAATTCAATTATCACATGTTTTTTGGATCATGATCTGTGTTGTATTGAGGATGTAAATTGTGATAAATAGGTTGCGTTGTGTGTGTGTGTGTAGAGAGAGAGAGAGATTGATTACTGAATCCTGCCTGGTTCATCGAGTCTACACCCAACACATGCAGTAGAAGTGATTCATCATCGCTAATACCAGAGATATGTATATGGAAGTTATCATCACAAGCAGTCAGATCAGAGGAAGACAATAAATAATAATGTTAAAATGTATTCGTGTCACATTATAACATTCTAACAAGTTACTTATTTGTTTTCACTATAAAAACATCTTATTTCCCGTCTGACTGTATTGTATTTTATTCATAACACTAACACTATTATTTCCGAATGTACTTTATCTTATATTGATTTCATTCAAACGTCTATTCATCAGTTTTTACTCATGTATATAAATGAAGCAAGAAAGTTGTGTGAGTAGTGCCTTGATATAATGATTATGAGCAGTAATAATTTGTGCTCGAAATGTACTCATCAGTAAATATTATAACACTGTGTGATTTTAACAAAATAAAATTCTATCCATAATGAAACTATACTCACATTCTGGAAATGAAATCTGTCATCTAAAACAAGAAAGAGGTAATTTTTAGTTTTCCACGTGAAATTAACACTCTTAATTACTTCAGTTTCCATT